CAACAAATTCTCAGTTGAACACGGGCAAGTTATGCTAGAAATGATTTCCAAATTTCAGATTCTTCATTCTGTAATTCAGTGACAGCATCACAGTTCCCATGAAAGAGAATTTTGTTAGAACTAGCTGAGGTAGAACAGTAGCAGAGAACAAAACTCACCATGCCAAGCTATCCAGTCACCATATTCCTTTTGTTTCTCAATCTCTCTTTGTTCCAACCCATCTCTGCTTTGAACCAAGAAGGTCTCTCTTTACTCTCATGGCTTTCAACTTTCAATTCATCTTCCTCTGCTACTTTCTTCTCCTCATGGAATCCAACACACCAAAATCCATGCAGCTGGAATTACATAAAATGTAGTAGTGATGGGTATGTTTCAGAAATCACAATCAACTCCATTAATCTTCCAACCACCTTCCCTACTCAGTTTCTCTCCTTCACCTTCCTAACCACCCTTGTCCTTTCAAAAGGAAACCTCACCGGAGAAATCCCGCCTTCGATCGGAAATATGTCGTCTCTGATCACCCTGGATCTCAGTTTCAATGCTCTAACAGGAAAGATACCACCAGAAATTGGAAAATTATCTGAGCTGGAGCTGTTGTTATTGAATTCAAACTCATTGCAAGGTAGAATTCCAACAGAAATTGGTAACTGCTCAAAGCTAACACAGCTTGAACTGTTTGATAACCAGCTTACAGGAAGAATTCCTGCAGAAGTTGGCCTATTACGGACTCTAGAAATCTTTCGTGCCGGTGGAAACCCAAGAATTCATGGAGACATCCCAATGCAGATATCAAACTGCAAAGGACTAGTCTTTCTGGGTCTTGCAGATACTGGGATTTCAGGGCAGATTCCACATAGTTTAGGAAAACTAAAGAGTCTCAGGACTCTATCAGTTTATACAGCAAATCTCACTGGCAAGATTCCACCAGAAATTGGTAATTGTTCAGCCTTGGAGGATTTATTTGTCTATGAAAACCAAATTTCTGGTGACATTCCAAGTGAACTGGGGTTACTGCAAAATCTGAAAAGGCTGTTACTGTGGCAGAATAATCTGAGTGGGATTATTCCAGGAACTCTTGGTAACTGTTCATCTTTGACAGTCATCGACCTCTCTTTGAATTTCCTAACCGGAGAGCTTCCTCTGTTTCTTGCAAATTTGGGGACATTAGAGGAACTTCTTTTGTCAGGGAACAATATTTCTGGAGAAATTCCACCATCCATTGGCAACTTTTCCAGCTTGACGCATCTTGAATTGGATAACAACAACATTTCTGGTCAGATTCCACCCAGCATTGGGAAATTGAAGGAGCTTTCTCTGTTCTTTGCCTGGCAGAATCAGCTTCATGGAAGTATTCCAACTGAGCTGGCCAACTGTGAGAAAATTCAAGCATTGGATCTTTCTCACAATTTCCTTTCTGGGTCAGTCCCAAAGTCTCTCTTCAATCTCAAGAACTTAACTAAGTTGTTGCTGATATCAAATGAGCTTTCTGGTGGAATTCCACCGGATATAGGAAATTGTACCGGCTTAACCCGTTTGCGACTCGGATTAAACACATTAGCTGGTAAAATTCCTTCAGAGATTGGGCACTTGAAGAATTTGAGTTTCCTTGAATTGTCAGAAAATCAATTTACTGGAGAAATACCCCCAGAAATCGGCAACTGCACAGAGCTGGAAATGGTTAATTTGCATGATAATAAGCTCCAAGGCACAATTCCTACCTCATTGGAATCACTTGTTGAACTCAATGTTTTAGACCTTTCCATGAATAGCATATCAGGTACAATCCCGGAAAATTTGGGCAAGCTAGTACTTTTGAACAAACTGGTATTGAATGGAAACAATATCACTGGTTCCATTCCAAAATCACTGGGCCTCTGTAAGGATTTGGAACTGTTGGATTTGAGCAGCAACAGAATCAGTGGTTCAATCCCAGATGCGGTTGGTCACTTGCAAGAATTAGATATCCTATTGAATCTGAGTTGGAATTCTTTGACAGGGCACATCCCAGAAGGCTTTTCAAATTTTTCGAATCTTGCCAACTTGGATCTCTCTCACAACATGCTGACAGGAAGCCTTCGAGTGCTCGGAAGCCTTGACAATCTTGTTTCCCTGAATGTCTCGTACAATAATTTCTCAGGTTCTCTCCCTAATACCAAGCTTTTCCAAAGCCTTCCTGCCACTGTTTTTGCTGGAAACCAAGAGCTGTGCACTGCAAGGGAACAGTGCCCTGTTAATGGAAACCTACATGGAAGGAAATCCATGAGAAATCTTACAATTTGTGTTGTAATCAGTATAATAGCGACTATGATAATCTTAACTGCTGGAGTAATCTTATTTATCAGATCTTGCAGTAAAACATTCAAGGAGAATGATGAAGAAAATGCTATGAAGTGGGATTTCACCCCATTCCAAAAGCTACGCTTCTCTGTAAATGATATTGTAACAAAGCTTTCAGAATCTAACATTGTAGGGAAGGGTTGTTCAGGAGTAGTTTATCGTGTCGAGATGCCAATGCAACAGGTCATTGCAGTGAAGAAGTTATGGCCAACGAAGAGTGGTGAGCTTCGACAGAGGGACTTATTTTCTGCAGAAGTTACAACATTGGGATCAATAAGGCATAAAAATATAGTGAGGCTTCTGGGCTGTTGCAACAATGGGAAAACTCGATTGCTCTTGTTTGATTACATCAGTAACGGAAGTTTGGCAGGATTGTTACATGAGAAGAACATAGTTTTGGATTGGGACGCAAGGTTTAAGATAATAGTGGGAGCTGCTCATGGTTTAGAATATCTTCACCATGATTGTATTCCTCCTATCGTCCATCGCGACATCAAGGCCAACAACATATTGGTAGGACCACAGTTTGAAGCTTTTCTTGCAGATTTTGGACTTGCAAAGCTTATGAATTCTTCAGATTGTTCTAGGGCTTCCAACATAGTAGCAGGTTCTTACGGGTACATAGCTCCTGGTAAGCATATTTTCTTTAAAGTACTATGATTTGTTCAGCATTTTCTCAATGCATGTTCCACTGAACAAATATACCTGAAGCTCTGTAGAATTGTTAAGCAATCCTTCTAAACAGTCCTCAATTCAGTAAATCATTGTGTAAATCAGTTATCAAGTAATGTTCAGGATTTTTAGTTTACTTGTGTACTTTCAATTGGTTCAGACATCATGCTCTAGACAAAAAAGATTCATGTAGCCAAAAATCCTTCTAAACAGTCCTCAATTCAGTAAAACATTGTGTAAATCAGTAATCAAGTAAAGTTCAGGATTTTTAGTTTACTTGTGTACTTTCAATTGGTTCATACATCATGCTCTAGACAAAAAAGATTCATGTAGCCAAGTGGAAGTCTTCGGTACAAGGACAATATTTCAAGTTGAGCTAGTGGATTTGTTAGATTGTCATTGTTGCGGGTTTCAGAAAGAAATTTCTATCATTCTTATTAATTCCTGGGTTTAGATTTCTCTTATACCACCAGGTCAAATTTCACTAAAACATTTTTCCACAGTTTCTCAGTTTTGAATTACTCGTGCAGCCTGATTGATTCAAATCCTTAATTTTCACTGCCTTCTAACTAAATCCTTATAGAGGTTAAGTAGTTATGACTATAAATTTTGCATACATCTGACTCTACAGTTGGTCCTGAAATGTAGAATATGGATACAGTCTGCGGATCACAGAGAAGAGTGACGTGTACAGCTTCGGCATTGTGCTACTAGAGGTCCTAACAGGGATGGGACCAACAGATAGCCAGATTCCAGAGAGCATGCACATTGTCAGTTGGGTTAACAAGGAACTGCGGGAAAAGCATAGAGAATTCACAACAATCCTTGATCAACAATTGCTGTTGCGGTCTGGAACACTAATTCAAGAGATGCTTCAAGTCCTAGGGGTGGCTCTACTGTGCGTGAATTCATGCCCCGAAGAAAGACCCACAATGAAAGATGTCACAGCAATGCTCAAAGAGATCAGGCATGAAAATGAAGATTTTGAAAAACAAAATTCCTACAGCAAAGGCATGGTAGCCAACCCAAACGCAGCTGCTCACTGTTCTAGTTTCTCTAGATCATCTGAACCTCTTATTAAATCTCCTCTCCAGTTACCATAGTTACCCCATCTCCTTGTATCTGAGTGACATGATTCTTTATAGTAAGAAAATAAATTTGCACAATTTTTTAAGACATGAAGTACCAACTGGAATTTTTACCCATGGTAGCACCACAATAAATTTCTGCTTCATTCTATTTGGGTTGTTCCTTATTTTTCTGACTTTTTCCATCAAGTATTAAGATAAAAGAAATGTCCATCTAATCCATATACCTATCACACTAATAGGATCTGTTAATGAAATTAAGAAAATGACAGTTGAGTCGTTCCTTTTAAAAAGGGCAGCACACTGCACGAACATTCTGGCCACCATGAGGTCTAGAAATGGTCAAATGTACACAACGCAGCCTAACCCTCATGTGCGGAGAGACTTTTTCCCTGATTCGAGTCTCTAATACTTAAGTCACAATGCATCAGCCTTGCTGCTCTACAAAGACCCACCATTTGGATCCTTCCTTCCAAAAGCTTTAAAGCTATAGGGAAATGCAGTTTATATTTCACTCAGGAAAATGTGTCGAACTGTTAAGAGCTTGTTAAATTGATAGAATATACACCTACATGAAAATGCCAACATGCCTCTAGAAACTATATTAAGGTTCAAACATGCAAACAATGTCTAGCAAAATTGGCTCTCGAATTACAAAGGTATGAAGCACTTTGTAAATGACTAAAACAACGTCACAAAATTCAGATAAAAAATCACATCTATGAGCAACACAAGTCTATTTCAAATAAAAAAAAGAGCAGCGCAAGTCTGACATATTAGCAAAAAGTTGGAAGCTATTGTAACAAGGAATATATGGTCATGGCTCAGCTAGCACGTGCAGTTCCCCAAACTGGGGCCCTAGAAAAGANAAAGCTATAGTAACAAGGAACATATGGTCATGGCTCAGCTAGCACGTGCAGTTCCCCAAACTGGGGCCCTAGAAAAGAGAGATGTAGCTTTCAAGCCCACTGGGTTGGTTGTCAGGCAGAAGTGGGCTGATAAAAAGCCATGGTCGTGACAAAATCTTTGTTGGCATGAACCAATCAGCACAGAATATGGGGAAACAAATGGCCCATCATTCCCTACCAACTCTCCCAACCTCTCTTTCAGGATAGATGAACAGACATCATGCTCCACGTTCCTGAAAGATACATTGCTTCAGTCATTTGACATCAAACCATCTTGGGTCCACAGGTAGGTTACAGTACCTTATCAAACTTCAATGGCTAAAAATGAAAGGAACCATCCCTAGACCCAGTTATATTTTATCTTTCCTCCCATATAATTCAAATAATATTTTGTATCATTTATGCTACAATCTTGATATCCCATAAAAAAAATGCTACCATCTTGATATGGCTCCAACCATATTGTCTTTTCAGGCAAAGCCTCGTTAACAAGTATCTCAAAACTTATTCACATCTAATTTTCTTGAGTAATAAACTTATATCATAAAACCATAGTGTTTAACATCTTTTAGTAATTCCATTATTAGTTAAAATTAAAATATCGGTTTAAGCCAATGCCCAAATACAACTGCATGATGAGGATCATGCATCTGACAATGAAGCCACAAGTTATGCATGAATCGGGACCTTGTAATTCTTGCAGATGATGTGGCCATGCTGCTGTCCGCATAATCCTCATTGTGTGGCTGTGTTTGGACAAGGTCACATTGTCGGCTGCACAATCCTCATCATCCAGCTGCATTTGAAAAAATCCACACTGTGAATTGTTCTGTAAGCCTCGTTCATCCAACTTTACATTACTTTTGAAGTATAAAACTGCTGGTGTGAATTTCGTCTGAACTTCAAGCGAAGCCAACTTTGCTTTACTTCTGATGTATATGAATGTTAGTGTGAATTGAAGTACAAAACTGTTAGATACCACATACCAATAGGAAAAACACAGATAGAATACAATCAAGAAATAGCAACAATTTTAAATGAATGCAATTAGCCTCCTAAATGCTTTAAGAAAATAATGCTATAGTAGTGATACTAAGCCAGAACATGGCCTACTATGANACATTGTCGGCTGCACAATCCTCATCGTCCAGCTGCATTTGAAAAAATCCATACTGTGAATTGTTCTGTAAGCCTCGTCCAAACTTCCAACTATCCAACTTTACATTACTTTTGAAGTATAAAACTGCTGGTGTGAATTTCGTCTGAACTTCAAGCGAAGCCAACTTTGCTTTACTTCTGATGTATATGAATGTTAGTGTGAATTGAAGTACAAAACTGTTAGATACCACATACCAATAGGAAAAACACAGATAGAATACAATCAAGAAATAGCAACAATTTTAAATGAATGCAATTAGCCTCCTAAATGCTTTAAGAAAATAATGCTATAGTAGTGATACTAAGCCAGAACATGGCCTACTATGACAAAAAAGAGTATTAAGCCAGAAAATTAACAGACTTGGAAGTGCATGATTATATCATGTCATGGTTGAATACAAGATCTAAGTCCAATAAGCTAATTCCACACTTCTTGGAACACAATTCAGTCCAAAATTTTACGTCGAGAATCCCATCACGCACTTTGAAATGTCCCACATCTGATCAGCAGTTTCTTTTTCCAAGATTGTCCAAGATTTTCTGTAAGCATTCGTCCATATACACGCACAAGAGCATAGACACATATGGGCCAAATGTTGTTACCATAGTCATTCAGTTGCTTCCGCAGCAAACCCAAACAGCTTATTGCCAGTTTCAAAGCAAGACGCCATGGTGGCAGTGGAAAGAACTATGATAATAACTTCATTCAACACATATAAACACATGGAGAAATTCCATTCACTAGTAATTTAGTTTATCTCATGATATTGAGGTCCTAGAACCTACATATTCACTCGATGGCATTTATCTTTATTACTTCTCCATCTAGGACCATACATGTCAATATATATTGCAATCATACATGATTGGGCACTGCACAAGGACCGTTAAAAAATGTGAAATAATCACAGATATTGTGGTTGAACCCTCATTTTGAACAAGAATACAGGAGGGATATTACATGTGCAAAGTTTCACATATTACATGTGTAAGAATTGCAATATAACAACGTAACATATACATCATCGGCCGTTGCCAACCAAACTCCAAGAACTGAAGTGAACTGAAAAGAATACATGAGGAATAAGAAAAAAAAAACATGATTAGAACAATATATGTTTACCATATAGAACAGCAGCTATGGACTCATAGCTATTATGAAGACAACATGACACACCTGAAGGCATAGCAGCATGTAGCCTCAGGGAAGCTCAAGCAAAGTTACTAATTACAGCTTCCTCTCTGGATGCCACTTTATGCTGCATCCAACACTTTTAGCAGATGGGAAAAAGAAATTATTTGAGCTCGTAACCACTGATCAATAATGCTTCCACTCATTTTCTATTAGCCTTTCCTTTTTACTAATGAGAAATAGCCAATGCATTCTTAAGGAGGAGAAAACAGGATTAATAATAAGAAATAAACAAATATGGATACCTGGGCTTTTGGACAGATGGTACTGGTTGGCCACTGAGAACACGGTCTATTGCTAAGCTTAAGTCCCTAGACAAAGTTTTGTGAAAGGTTATTAAAAATTTATGAAAGAAATAAGAAGTTGTGAGGACACACTTATATTTAATAAAGCTAGAATTGCACAAACCAACCTTCCCGTGACTCGAACAGTATTACTTGGTCTTGAATCATCAAATTGGCCATGATACACAAGCTCAAAGGGCCTACGGCCATCCTGCCACAAAATGATAAAATTAAGCTCATGCTGACAATGGCAAATAACTTGGTTTTGTAATTACATTGAGTGGTAGGCAATACCGAAAATTAGATCAAAATGACTGAAATAGGATGAGGAATTGAGAGGATGACTGTAAATTGAGCACCTCTGAGCAGAAACTAGATAAGACACTACAGTTGGAATTGGAAATACTTAAAAAATCCATGTAAGTCCGAGTACCTTTTTGAATAGGAAAAAATCTGGAGTGCAAACAGNTGTAAATTGAGCACCTCTGAGCAGAAACTAGATAAGACACTACAGTTGGAATTGGAAATACTTAATAAATCCATGTAAGTCCGAGTACCTTTTTGAATAGGAAAAAATCTGGAGTGCAAACAGCTCCAAAATCTTTTGCAACATCTTGTGACTGCATATAAGCATACTATTCAAACACTGTCTTTTGAGGATAATATATATTCACCAATATAATGATTTCAGGAAATGGACACCAGTCAGATTGATGGGAACATAATCTCTACAAGCAGGATACTAATTACAAGATTAGAAAAATTGTTGGATTCCAACTTCCATACGTAGAATTTCCCGTCCGTCACAGACTACATATTTGTGTGTTTATATACATATGTGGAATTGTTAAAAGACCACACCCATGGCATCGGACAGTTCTTTGGGCTAAAATGAAAGGAAAGGTTTTGCCAAAGCAGGTCCTTGGTGCAGTGTTTGCTGCCTTACCTATCACATATGCAGTGAGCATAATCTTATCCAAGGCATATCCAAGGTTTTCCTTCACCTTTTGAGTTATTGATGGTCAAAATCTATCCAAAGCAGCAGAACAGACTGAAAAGAGGTCCTAAAAGGTTATTTAAGCAGTCATATGTTTTTTCAATGATACAAAGGGGATTCCCTCATGATACAATGGCTCACTAAACATTTTCTTGCTAAACCTTACTAGTTACTACAGTAGAAGATCATCGTTAGCTTTGCTCTTGTTTGAAACTACACACCTTTTCATTTCCCAATAGGGAGGTTAGTATGGTATTTCAACTAATTAGCTCAGCGTGCTGTCAATGTTAATGAAGCTATAACCTTAGAGATAGATTCAGATATTATTCACACTGTTCTCCACATTTGATCTCAGACAATAACACCATTTTGATATCACATGTCAGACGTTTTACATCAAGTAATACCAGAGATGATGCTGTGTGCCTAGCAAATGGTTAAGGTGCTAGCAGGAAGATAGTCTATAGTCAATTATCTCNTTGTGTGCAGTGTTATTTAAGGCGTAAAGCGAACCGAAGCGACCAAGGCTCCTAACGCCTAGGCGAGAAGCGAGANTCTTTCTATGGTACAACTTCCAGGAGATATTACCGATAAGCTATTGCCTATTCTAGGATATTGCTTTTAAAGGACTAACGAAGGATGCATAGATTCTTCCGACCAAAAAAGTATACAGGCAAAGTATGCGGAAGTGTTGAGTCTGTTGACCAAAACAAGGCCAGTTGTGGTAGCCTGGAATTCGATGGCCATAAGCAACAACTATATCACATTTTACAATAAGGTATAAAAATCACCACAAAAAATGAAGCAGGAGGAGAGCAAGAAGCTTACCTCATCATAAAGATATGGGAAAGGATAGTTAAATAACTTGGCTTCTTCTGCCATGAATTCTGGTCCATCCTGTGAGGAAAATAGCTCAACTCGGGAGAAATCAAATAATGGCTTAACACAGCTCAGAACTAAAACTATAGTGTCATCTGTTCTGAACCTGTGGGTGAGTTGCAGCAGAGTTTGAAGATATCGCTACTACTGCAAGCCCTTTCTGCAACAGAAAACAAGAACTTCTGAATATGCAACTTTCTTTGTAGAGTCATCAATTTAACCAAGTGGATGGTAAACATGACATAAGAAGCAAGTGAATCAGGATGAAAATGGATCAGCTACCTGCCTACCAGCATATAGAAAGTTGAAAGCTTCACAATATCTTTTTTCAGGTGTTTGACAAATGGACAGTGGTTGCAAATAAACATAACCTGCCACCACGTTGTTATAAGCAACTCATAACTGTTCTATATTAATAAAGAGAAAAAAACTAAATTGTGATGTCTGGTGAGATTGAGAAGCCGCATTAGGATTGTCGTTTGGGGTAGCTATGAGGCCAATCATCCAATTGGCTTAGCCTGGCCTGGTGTTGTTCTGCAGGGCTACTAGGTCAGGCCTATGAATCCTGATCAAAATGACATTATTTGCAGATTGAAAATTTTCCATGGTAAATCACAATAGGAAATAAGGTGCATGCAATCTCACTTAAATTCTTTATGATCTACTTTATGGACCTTTTCTTTCATGCCTGAGATCTTGAACATCTTAACGAATTCATATAAGCGCAAAGATTCTAAATTCCATGTGAAAACAGCACTCACTCAATATGTGTGCGTTTGAGAAAATGCATAATCAAACCTGAGCCCAGAGTTTGCAAATGCTTCATTCATACGTAATGATGTGTATGCATTACTACTTAGCTAACTAACTTTTTGTCAGCTAAAATCTTCCCTAGTTATGTAAGGCTCTGTAAAGGTACTAAACATTGATTGTTTGAAGTTACTGTTACCTATTAATCAAAACCATTGGTCTACCTAATTTGCAAACTAATGGGTAACAATACAGNCTAACTAACTTTTTGTCAGCTAAAATCTTCCCTAGTTATGTAAGGCTCTGTAAAGGTACTAAACATTGATTGTTTGCAGTTACTGTTACCTATTAATCAAAACCATTGGTCTACCTAATTTGCAAACTAATGGGTAACAATACAGCCATTACAATATTTGCAAGGCCTTATCTCGATACCAAGAACTAAAATAGCGTCATTTCATGTAATATATCAAGGTGACACTCCCATCATTAGCTATGATAGACACAGTACACGGCAATGGACCATTTTGAATAACAGAGTTGTACAGTTAAACAGAACGAGAAAAGTCATTCAATTNAAGGCCTTATCTCGATACCAAGAACTAAAATAGCGTCATTTCATGTAATATATCAAGGTGACCCTCCCATCATTAGCTATGATAGACACAGTACACGGCAATTGACCATTTTGAATAACAGAGTTGTACAGTTAAACAGAACGAGAAAAGTCATTCAATTTTCATGAAACAAATTAACGCAACCAAACAGCAATCAACAAGATAAATAGAATAACACAAATTTATCCACACCATAGCAACAAAACAACAATGAAAAGTAAACCAATTTATTAAGAACAATGAAAGACTTGTACCAGTAATGCTGGATATGATTCAAATTCGTCCAATTTCCACGTTTTCAAAGTAAGCGGCTCTTGAAGCTAAATGGGTCGGTCCACAACAAGAAAACGCAAATCAGATTTCAAATTTATATGAAGAATTCTTCAATAATTCAATGCACTTATAAAAAAAACATGCCTAGATATATGCATGCCCGCCTACACATATGTAATTAAACCTGTATATATATATATACCTCGAAATGGGGAGCTCTGAAACCAAGGGAGACTCTTTTCGACTCAGTTCTTGCGGCTCGGATTACAAATTTTCTTGCGGGTACGGTGCTCCTGCGTTGCAGTTGCAGAGGAAAATAACCCAATATTGAGGAATAACATCGTAATGAAGGAAAAGAGTCAGACTTGGTACTTGCTAACGGGCACGGAAGACTTGGTAAACATGCGCCAGAGGAAGACACAGTTACAGTTCTAGCAGCCATGTCTACGCGGGGGGGAGGGCG